GTTCCAAAGCCCCAGCTCCAGACGGCGCCGTTGGCGGCGAGGGCGAGGCTGTGCTGACCTCCAGCCGACACAGCGACGACGCGCTGGCCATCAAAAGCCTCGATCTTCCTGAGCAGCAGCTGGTTCTGCAGACTGCCGTGGCCCAGCGCGCCCAAGCCTCCCTGACCCCAGCTCCAGACGGCGCCGTCGGCGGTGATGGCGAGGCTGTGGGAGTCTCCAGCCGACACGGCGATGACACTCCGGCCAGCAAAGGCCTCGACCTTCTTCGGCAGCAGCTGTAGCTGCGTGTCGCCGTGGCCCAACCGGCCGTCGTCTCCACTGCCCCAGCTCCAGACCCAGCTCCGTCGGCGGTGATGGCGAGGCTGTGGCTGCCTCCAGCAGACACGTGCGGTGTGAGTGTGTGCGTGTCATGCGGCTACAGCAGATAACCGTCGGTGTCCGTCTGTATTATTATTAACAACGAAGGCGCTCTCAAAAAAGAATTTTCCGGGGGCTTTTACAAGGATCGGGCTCGCACACGCACGATTCACACGGCACGCAAGGCGCAGACGACGGCGCGCGAAAAGGCTTCTATCTTTTTCTTTCCCAGTATCTTTCACGATTCCACGGGAGATGGCTTGCTAAGCGGTCACTTGTCTTGGTGTCCATGCAAGGCGCGCGATACACATGTTATATGATGTATCTTATTCCGGGGCCGGTGTGCGGGGAGCGAACCTTAGCGACCGCCCAGAAGCTCTCTGAGCGAACCAATCGGGCCAGGATCATCAGCATATGTCCCCTCCACAACATCGTGGGCGTTTGAGCGGTATTTCAGGAGCACCGCCACTCTGAAGTTCGGCCGGGTGGTCTGCAGACCCCCCCCCCCGGAGCAGCAGAGGCTCCGTGGGGTCGCAGAGTCGACGCTGGGAGTCGCACTCGTCAAACCGTCGCAGCAGCACGCGGCCCGCACGTACCGCCCACATCCCCTCCACCGCTGAGAAGGCGCAGATCGACCGCCGGGCCGCGTAGTCGTCGTTAAGGAGCCGTTTTTGGAGCCGTACGAAGGGGTCCAAAACGGGCGAAGATGCGGTTTTTCGACGACCACACGCGATGTGGTATCTGGTTTTTGCTAAAAACGGGCCGCCTAGTGCAGCATCACTAGTAAAACACGCAACCACACTGAAAGCTCCACACTAGCCGGTATAGGCGAGCACCGTCGGCCTCACCGTCGCCGCTCGCGGCGGAGCCGACGGCGGAGCCACGGGTCGGTGCGACCTTTTGGGGGCCCATGAGCTCGCCAGGACGTCACCGATGGCTCGGCGCGCCTCTTCCCGCCAGCGCGGGGCGGCCTACCTACAGGAGCGAGGGGGAGGAAGACGGAACTGAGCACTAGGTTCGTGACCCCGTCGCCGGCAACGGCTGGGAGAGGGGCGGCAAGCGACGGGCGGGTCGGCGACCTTTTGAGCGCCCGTGAGCTCGCCGGGACGTCGCCGATGGCTCGGCGCGCCTCTTCCCGCCTGCGCGGGACGGCCTGCCTACAGGAGGGAGGGGGGGGAGACGGAACTGAGCCCTAGGTTCGTGATCTCGTCGCCGGCAAGGGCTGGGAGAGGGGCGGCAAGCGACGGGCGGGTGAGCGACCTGTTGAGCGCCCATGAGCTCGCCGGGACGTCGCGGATGGCTCGGCGCGCCTCTTCCCGCCTGCGCGGGACGGCCTGCCTACAGGAGGGAGGGGGAGGTGGTCGTGAGCTCACTTTGTCGGCCGCGCGCGAGGTGAAAACTGAGTGTGAGGCGCGCAGGAGGCGAGGGTGGGCGCGCCGGCGGTCGAGCCGCCGAACAATTCGACGTGGCGCAGCTCCGCGCCGGCGGGCACGACCGAGCAGATGCTGTCGGCGGCGGTCACGCGACGAGGGAGAGCCGCAGGAGCCCTCTGTGGAGCAGGCGCGCGAAAGCAGCGATGAGTGGCGCTTCGTCAGCCACCTGTGGGCGGTCATCGGGGTGACGTCACACCTCAGCGAGCTGGATCCGGGAAGGGCATGGGGTCACGCGGGCCCTGTCTGCAGCAGCAGTGCTAACTAAAATTCCGGATGGACCGGAGAGTGTCTACATTCTCGAGGCACCGTTCTCGGCGCCCGGCCGGAAAGCTGGCTGGTGGTAGGCCGGTCGCTCCCCCGTCTTTGGGCCCTGTTGAGTCGTTTCGGAAGTTGAAGTTGGCGCATCACAAAGAACCCAAATCCAACCCTGCCAACCGAGCAAGCCCATGGGGGACGCGAGGTCTTGCTCCACCTTCTCGGCGCTCGCGTCGCCCAACCTGAGAGCCTCATCCGCCATGCCGGGGCACATCTTGACCGGAGCCGGTCACATGTCCATCGTGCCCAAGACGGGGCACGGTCGACTCGACCGCGGCCGATGGCACCGGCCCAACGGCCGACCAAGATTTTACGCCTCCGAACGCCGGGCCGGTGAGGTGGCGGGTCGGGCGACACGGAAAATCGGTGGCTGACAACGACTTTTTGAGGCCATCGGTTTGAGGTCTGCAGACATTTTCTGGATGATCTCGCATTTCCCGAGGCGTAATCGCAGATCCAGACGGCCCAGCAGGTGGGCGCTGCAGGCGAGCCGCCTCACATCCTTCGCCCCCCCCGTCGCTCACGCTGCCTCTGAAGCACCGGACCACCCCCCCCGCGCCCAGGCGGCCTAGCTGCCGCGGGCTCCACCCACGCGGGCCACCATCAGCGCCGCCCGACGGCTCAGAACCTCTCTCTTTAGGTCCCACAAAAGGCGGCGAGCGAGCGGCGAGGCAGATGAATCGAGCTCTGGACGCATGCCGCGAGAGCTGTGAGGGTCGCAGCTCGGCCTCCATCTTGCCCGGTAGTGGCGCGTCGGCTTGCCGGCTCACGGGGGTCACTGCCCCTAGGTGCCGCCTCACCTCGCCTCTATGCACCCTTCACCCTCTAGCGCCTCACCCTGCCCGGTGCCGTGGTAGTGGCGGTGTCAGCCATGCTGGACCGGCGGCAGCGAGGCCGACGGGCGTGGCTGCGGCGACAACGGCGGCTTGGCCCGTGACGGCGACGGCGCTGACGGCAGAGCAGCTGCGGCCGGCACGGGCGGGTGCGGCCGAGCAGCGCGGCGCTCACAGCAGGCGGCCGGCGTGGCGGCGGCGACGGCGCCGCACGAGGAAGCGGTGGCGCAGCCGCGCATGACAGGTCCGGCGCGTGTCGAGCAGCGAGGTGGCGCGCCGCGCTGCCGACGCGCCCCCAGGCCGGAGGCGGCCGCCGCGTGCCGAGCCGCGGGCTGTTGGTGCTTACAGTCTGCGGCGGCGGCGCCGCCGCCGCGGAGCGAGGCAGCGGCGGCGGCGGCGGCGGCGGCGGCGGCGGCGGGGGATGCGGCGGCTGCACGTTGTGCCTCGAGGCGTCGCTCGCGGCGCTGGTGCGGCGCGTGGTTGGCTGACGAGGTTGCGCGCGCACGGCGCACGAGGGTGTAGTCACGTCCCTCGGCTCTCGCCACCGCTGTCGCCGCGCGCTCCGCGTTCGTTGTCGCCGGCGCTGCCCGCCTCGAGCCACTGCGGCCACTGCCGCGCGACGTTGCGCCGCGCCATGCTGGCCGTCGCTCTCTCGACGTTGTGGAGAAGGCTCTGTCCCACGTCGAGAGGAGGCGTTCCCGCGGTGATATTGACCCAGCTCTGTTGTCTCTAGGCTGCGTCGGCACGGGAGGCGCTGCGGGCGGGAAGGTGGAGCGGGCTGCGGAGCGGCAGATTAGTGGCAGTGGCGACGGGCGGGGCGGCAGCGAGCAGGGTGGCGAGTGAGACGTTGGAGAGGCGGGGCTGGGGAGGCTGGTGCCGGTGCCACTACAGGCGGTGCAGGTGCGGTGTGCTACTGTAGTGCTCGCTCACCGGAGCGAGCGCGGCGGTCGGACCGTCCTGGCAAGGGCCGCTGACCAGGACGGTCGCCAGGAGTCGGCTTGCACCGCGAGAGCGGCGAGGCGGGGGGAGAGGCTTGGTGAGGGTGTCCGCGGTGGTGCCGGTGTGTTAGTTAGGGGGAGAGGCGCGGGCCGGGGGAGCGGGAGGGGGTGGGGGGGTGGAAAATTTCGATACCCTAAGGTGCCCTGGTGATCCTGGGTTAGCATCGTCTCTTCTGAGCCCGCTCTTGATGGGTTGGAAGCGTTTTCATAGCGAATTCACGCCGATTTTGCCATACGGACGTCCCTGGCGCGCGCTCTTGAAGGCCTCATCCTGGGATGGTGCTCGCCAGCGTGAGTTCATACAGTGCTGCGAGCTGGCCTAAGGCCGGACCTTACGACGGTCCAGCGCTGGGCAGCGTGATGGCTCTTACTCGAGGCGCGACATGAGTGTACGAGGACCTCAACGTCTCGGTTTGGCGAACCAGCATGAGGAGCGGAGCCGCTGTAGCTCCTCCCTGCAGCTTGCGCGTCGCGGTTTGGCCGACGTCCCATCCACCGCGCATACTGCGGCGGCTCTCCAGCTCAAGAAGGCTGCGCTCGACCACCACATCGCCCGAGTCAGTGGTCCGGACGCCCCGCTGAGCCTCGCGCCGCAGTGCAGCCAGTTTGCGCGGCCGTGATGCGCGAATCGAACCGGTGCGATGTTGTTCGGCACTCTAGATGGCCTGAACATGCTTGCGTTCAAGTCTTGAGGTCTGCGCTTAAACTTGAAAATTTAATAAAATCGGGTCCGACCGGCCTACTGGTGGTCGCGCGCGGCGCGTCAGCGCCACTCCGACTGGTTGGGCACCTCGGCTGGGTCCATCAGCAAGAGGCCCGCGCCGTCGGGCGGCCCCGGGAGCGCATGATGCCCCTCCGAGAGGCGCTGACGCCCCGCCGAGATCGCGCTGGTTTGGCACGAAAAACGAGAAGCGCGAAGGGGGGGGTCCGAATAAGATACATCATGTACCATTGATCTGCTCGATTTAAACACGCAACTTCACACGATATCGTAAGACATGTACATGTGCCCCATTCACACTTTGTGTGTGTGGAAACGTTTATCTTTGTTACCTCACCTTGGCTCAAAATGGCGGGATCTCCGCGGCTACCCTCGGCGCCTCCTCCTCGATGACAATGGTCACCGCAGGCTTCGCAGCAAAATTGACCGCCATGCCGAGCTCGTCCGCCAGAACCTCGAGGAAGAGCGGCTTGAGGGCCGCGCCGCATATTTGCTCCGCGGTCGGCGCGACGGCTCCGTCCTGCACGATGGTCGCCCGCGCTGAGCGGCCGCCGAGGTCCTCCATCGTCGTCTGCTGGAGAGTGATGCTCACTCCTCCCTCCTCAAGGCTGCGAGACAGCGATGCCACCACGGCGTCCTCGACTGCGTCCAAGTCGAGCAGCGGGGCGGGTGGTGGCGACGGCGGCGACGGCGAGGATGATAGCGTCGCCGCCGACGTGAGGCATTCGGAGCAGCCTATGCATGCTCCGTTGAGCCAGGCGCACTTGTTTTTCCAGGTCCTCGAGTTAGTGGCGCAAACTGGCTTACACAATGCAGCCGGCGAGTCACCGAGCACCGTGATCCTCGCATTCATGTTGGCGTGAGGCTCGCAAAAGTAGTCATACTCTCCGGGCTCGTCAAAGGTGTGGGAGAAGGTGTCGCCGTTGGAGAGCCACTCCGACCGGAAGCGCCCATCGGCGATGCGGTTCGCGCCGCTCACCACATTGTGGGACCCCACGGAGATCCATGTGACGGCCTGACCGGCTTGGATTGTGCGCGAGGCCTGCGGGCAGTGTTCGCCCGCCTGGACTTTGCAGTCGAAGCCCCAGGAGACATCGTTATGGTGCAGAATAGAAGGCAGAGGAGTTGGTCCAGGACTGTCGTGACGTGGCTCAACAGAGTCAACAGCGAGCGGAATGGGTGGTGGTGAGGCGGTGGGTGGCGGGGCCGCCGCCGTGGGAGGCGGGCCGGCGCCGTCGACGAGCATTCGGCGAAGCTCCTCCTTCTTCTCCTCGACCGGGCATTCGCCCAACGCGGAGGCGGCGTCGGTGCACCTCGCCGGTAGCGTGGAGAATCACGCACATCCAAGTAGGATTGGTGGTGCACGCGGAGCACAAAGCCTTTGCCTACTTGACCTACTCAGGACTCGGACGGAATGCATCTTGCGCAGTCGCCCGACGGCCTCTCCTTCTTCCCGATAACCGGCCCGCTCGAGTGCGACCGCCCCGAAGGTGCAGTGAGCAGCTTTGGGCGGAGCCAGTTCCTCGTGCCTGAGGTGGGGCGCGACCGCTTTGCGCCCGCATGGCCGCACCAGGCGCGGTTCGTAGCCGCAAATGTGGTGCTTCCCGCGACTAATGCAGAGCCAGCGTGCCCGGTCCTCGCTTCCATCTCATGCCAGCAAGCTCCCTGCTCAACCTCTCTCCCACTCCTTCCCCGCTCGGTGAACAGTGGTGTCCCAAGGGCCTGATGCGAGATCCTTTTCTGCTGTACCACCCGCCCAGCGACCGGTTTGTGCTGCTCTGGACGACGGGATGGGCGGCGACGACGATCGGATTTGCAACCTCCGACGATCTCGTCCATTGGAGCGCGCAGCGCGCCATCGAGGTGACGCGCGGGCTGGCCGACCCGATCGTCACGTGGGCGCCCGAAGCCGTCTTCGACCCTGATAGCGGTGAGACCTCGTCTCCAGCTTCCTAAGAGCACCTTCACAGACGCTCCACCGTTAACAGGACAGACCATGATCTTCTGGAGCTCGAGCACGGGTCGCTTGGAAGCGCCAGGGGTGTGGCGGGCGCTGAGCAGCGTCTCTTGAAGCCTCCCGGTGTGAAAAGGCAGCATCGAATGGTCGAATCTGGAGCCGACAAAGGGGCGGCTAACAGCAGACGAGAAGAAGGTGCGTCTCGCCCTCGGGTGTTGGAGGGGGTGGTGCGTTCAGCTCACAGCTGCCCTCTGTTCGAACAGGAGCGGCAGAAGGCGTACCGAAACGCGAGTCAGTCCTACTGGCAGACGCCCAAGCGCATCTACTATACCCTTACCGCCGACTTTGAGAGCTTCACGCCGGCACGGCTCCTCTTTGACTCTGGCTACTCAACCATCGACGCCACCGTCCTTCGCAGCGAGGGCCACCACCGCATGGAGTGTTGAGCAAAGGAGGGGAGGGCGCCTCTTCATGGCATCCCGGCGTGATAGGGCGATACTATATGGCGTACCGCGCAACGATGGGCGACGCCGTCTCGCTCTACACGGCCGAGGCCAGCGACATGACCGGGCCGTGCGTGCCCTCGCCCCGAGTGTAGCGCTCCCCCGCATGTATCTCTGTTTCCCTCTGCTGGTGGCAATCCGCGAGTTCTCAGGCGGACTAAATGCGAGCGTATAATGTGGATATTGACCGCGTTTGCTTGCGCTGCGCAGATACCGGACGATTGGCAACCTCAGTGCGCTGGTGCCGGTGCCCACCGAGGGGCCGAGCTTGGTGCGGACTGTGGTGGCTGCTGCTTCACCTCTTGGCCGGTGCAAAGCGACGTGTTGCGAAATAGGTTGAGTGGGGCGGCTGCTTCTACATCTACCACGACATGTACGAGGACGGCCGCTATGGCGTGCTCTTGGCGCCGAGCATGCACAAACCATGGGAGTGCGACGGGTGCCGTGAATAGCGCCTGACTAACGTCGCGGTCTCTGTGAGCGTAGGCACGGGCCATGGCGAACGGAGGAGGGACTTCACGTGCCAGACCTGACGCGACACGCGACGGTGATCCACATGCCGCGAGCCCGCGCAAGCGCGCTGCTCGGGCGCGCCGAGGCGGCTGGGAGGGGGAGAGAGGAGGACCAAAGGTGGCGCAAGAAAATAAGAAAGTAATGCGGTCAGTTTAGACTTTAGTCTCTCTCTACTCTCTGGCTAGTTCCATTTCACTCTGACACGCTAATCTTGAAAACGTCCAACGGAGCTCCGTGTTGCTCCCAGCGCCCTCCCCCGCGCTTCCTGCGGCCATGGCCGATGATACTAGTATGAGAGGTCATCTGGCTACCGCGAGCGCGACTCAACTCGCCGACGTCGTCCGATGATTGTGCCTCAAAGTCAGCCTCCGGAGGCTATCGTGGGGTCGAGCCGGCAGTAGCCGTGACATGTGGTTCCACCACCCCTCGTATGCTTTGCCTCTGACCGCCACCGTTCCCAGGCTGCCAAATGGGATGGAAAGGAAGGCTCGGCGAGCGTATAGAAGCGTGTTCGACCTCGTCGTGGCAACCTGTACGGCAGCGCTGGTAGGCGCGATGAGCGTCGTGCCACCTGACCCGAGACGGGTCGCAGGCGTCGTACCGAGCGCGTCGAGACCGTGTCCTGATGTGATCTGCACGGGTGAGTCACGTCGGCGTCAAAGGAGCGACGTGCGACCTGTCAGAGCTTGATCTCCGATCTCAGCGGCGTCGAGTCGTCTCCGGCGCGCGACAAAGGTACATCCACAGGACGCGCAGAGGCAGCTGCGACCCCGCCGA